GCGATTTTCACTCAAAACCCACAAATTCTTGATGATTCCATATAAGTTTGGTGGTGTGCGTATGTTCAATGCCGGTCTAACCTACGTACAACCATTGTTAACAATATTTCGTTCAAGTTGGTGAAGCGTATTAGACGTGAGTGCCGGGAATTATTAAGTACAAGATGAATAATGCCAGATATCCTTCGTCGACAAAAAAGGTAACACTTTCTATATTTAAACATATAATATTTCAGGGCCGAGGCAAGATGACAAATGACATAATTAGACTAGGCGAAACCAGTTTAATTGACATCGTACCTACAACAATCCCGCATTTAACAGTTATTAAATTATAAAAGGAGTTATTTGTCTTCATAACCCAAGAGGAAAATATGATCGCGGTCAACAAAAGGAGCGTGACCAACGCTAAGAATATAATGTTAATGATGGAATGGCGCCTTACCATCGGACCATAAATATTTAATACGTTTCATTGGAAGTGGGCAGTTGATTCAACAGTGCCTTCTTGGCACGTTAATTTGCGATTACGTAATCGCGACATACGCAGGAAGCAATTAGGAAATGTTTCATTAATTAAAATACAATAATATTTTTAACATGCAAGACTGCAGATCGCCGTCGAGACAGAGAAATACTCAATAAATAAGATGGAAACTCCTTGACGAACGGACACGCATTTTCCCGAAGAAATTCCCGTTAATATTCCATTAAGACAACATCAACACAATTTCCATTCGATGTTAATTATTTCGAGCAATCTTTTTCTTTGTCCACACACTCGACAATGCGAGCTTATGATCGATCAATTAAGTATGTGATGTATCCGATATATTTATTGAAAGGAAAAAAATGGATACGCATTGAATCGCTTCGGACATTAGAAATTGTGGGATTGTTCATGACCGTGTCGTATTGTTTTCTGGAATAAAACAACCAATCCGCTCAATAAATCACACGTAACGCGAACAATAGGCCGCCCGTATATGTACTCATTCATAAATATTAATATGAGATCAAATGAGCATATAATAGAAGGTGAATTGAGCTCAATACAAGTTCTCCGTATTATCAGAACTAAATAAATGGTATTAAAAGGAAGCTATAACATTATAAATACTGAAATTTTCTCGAATCAATCGTAAGTAGGTTCGATATTCACCTGCTTTATAACAAGTACATTTTTAGTCGCCGATCGAATGTAAGACCTACCTCGTAACGTACTTCGTTTTCCTTGATGTCAAAGGAAAGATGATGAATCAAATACAAACGAGATATCATTTGAAGGGTACAGGGAAAAAACATGCAATGTCACTAAGTCAATGAACTGAAAAATTTTTAAATAAACATTTTGATCCTTGGTAAAAGGTACATTTAATCCTGAAATGAAACGGAAATATATAATATATAAAGAAAAAATATTTGTTTTGAGTTTACAGTACAAAAAAAAACCTTCTTGGTTGTACTTATTGAGCTAAAAGAAAAAAGTGAACAAAGTCAGAAAATATAGGAATAAAATATGCAATGTCCACAAAATTGTCATAAAATACAGGAAAAAAATATGCAATGTCCACGAAATCGATAATCTTTAAGCATTATTATATTTAATTTGTGAGAAATATTGCTTAGCTCTTGGTCCACAAAACTTTGACAAGGCCCGGATATCCATGAATTTTGCCTTTAAAACTGCTAGGCTCCCATTATTCGATTGTTCTGGCAGTAAAAACTCTGAGACACCAACGGTATGAGAGGAGTTTTTCAATTTTTTTTTAGGTCCCATGAGAACAGATGACGTCCAAGCGGAATTGTAATGTTCTCTATGAAAAATTAATCTACTCTCAAAAATTACTGCGTCCCTTTCAATAGTCAATTTATGAGGGAAAAAAATGGACAAAATACATGTTTTTCAAAAACACCAAAATAAACAATTAAGAATTCATGAATGACAATTATTGCATTTCAATTCAATAGTTCAGTAATAAATTCTTCCTATTCAACTACAACATGTTCCAAATATTTTCTCAATCACTGAAAATCAAAAATGTCCCTTTCATGCCACCCTTACCCTTCCCCCCATGATAATAGTAGGAATTGAATTCCTTTAAAATGAGATACTCGAAATTTGTAACACAACTAAGATTAAGTTGTAAAAGAAAAAACATAATGAGATAATTTTAAAAAACCTTTAGAAGATCGGTGCTCAGACTGCTCTAATGCGAAGTCAGGTCAATTTAGATATCATGAACAATCGTGTTCTAGTGAAGTCTGTATTGTTTTTTTCCTTTTACGAATGTCATGATTTCTTCGATCTGCCGTTCTTTGAATGTTAATGAACTATTTTGATTGTGGTTCTCATCAAATTACCCATTTTATCGCAAAACAAACACGAAATTCCTTCAAGTTTTCCATTCTTTATGGAAATAGCCATATTGTTCAATTTTTTTTCAGTAAAGCACTAATTGAACACGTAAATACAAGAAATTTCAAATTATATTGCGTAAATAATAAAAAATGAATTGTTTTAAACTATCAGTTATTTTCTACTGGCAATTACACACGGTATTGACAGGAAAATACACCAGCACAAATGCTGCAACATCTGTTTTCTTGTTATCTAAAGTTTCTGGATAACGAATCCTATCATAGTTGCCTGTCCTTAAATTTTGCATACTTTATAGGCGCCTGCACTGAATGAACTATGCGAGTAGTGATTAAAGAGTCTCAGTATTTACTATATATTTGTTCATATATCAAGTCGGGTTTATCAACGTCTCTGTCTGCGACGCCACTGTCGAACTATGCCCAAACGGTTTATTTACGATTATTTTAATAAACACCGGAATAGACATCTCAGCTCTCACAAGGCAGTTGGCCCAGAACGAATTCAATACTCTACCTCTGACTCATTCATTCATTCAAGGCACACCTCTTACATAATTTTCAGTCAGCATGATAACTAACTGATCGATGCCATTGTGACGTGGTATAACGTTTGAAATAAACGACGGCCAAAATATTTGGCGGGAAGCGGACACGTTAACTACCGAGTTTTGGCAGAAGGACGTACACACAGAACTAGATATAAAGAACGATTTATTTATACCGTTACACGTTCGTACGGTTTTTTAATTTCGCGAATCGCTGAATGAACGACTGAGTTCGTACCGTTTTGCGTAGTAAAACTGCGATGAAATTATTACAATACAATCGCCAGTCCATTCGAGAAAAGCCGATATCATCAGAAATAAATTTGTACAACCAACAAACCAAGTCTGGCAGCTCAGTTTTTCTACCGTAAAAAGTTGTGAAACCCATGTAATTCCGATTAATTTGTTTATTCCACACTTGAGGGACCTTCCGTCTTGAGTTATTACGTAATTAACTAACCTAATAACATTTTATAATGATACTAGTTGACCCGGCCAACGTTCTTTTGCCATATAAATTATATATATATATATATATATATATATATATATATATATATATATATATATATATATATATATATATATATATATATATATATATATATATATATATAACGAAGTCGCTGTAAGTTCTCTGTAAATATGTAATATAAAATATTCATTTAAATCATATAAATTTAAAGGCCATATAGATCTATATTAAATCGACAATGTATTGAAGGTATTTCATTGGATAAGGATTAATGCTGTATTGCTTAAAATCGCTTCGAAAATTAGCCATTATTTGTCGTTAAATGTAAATGACAAAAAAATGTTATTGTGGAATATCCATAAGAGATAGACATATACCATAGAGGAGTTTTCTGTAGACATTACTTAGTTCATTATTTTGATAAATCTCGTAGGGTTCAGCCTGCGTTTGCAATGTAAGCGGAAAAATGTAATTATTCACATCACATTAGAAACCTCAAAAATAACAGTATTTCTCCACTATTTAATGGATGGTATCTATAAACCTTCCTCTTCAATCACTAATCTATTAAAAAAACCGCGTCAAAATCCGTTGCGTAGTTTTAAAGATTTAAGCATACATAGGGATATAGGGACAGAGAAAGCTACTTTGTTTTATACTACACTAGCGACCCGCCCCGGCTTCGCACGCCGCAAACGCTACGCCCCGCAATTTTTAAATCTGTAATATCTTCGAAAATATTCACTTAAATCATACGGTGTAAAGGGCCATATATATCTATATTAAATGAACCATGTATTCAAGGTATTTAATTGGTTAAGGATTAATGCTGTATGGGTTAAAATCGCTTCGAAAATTAGCCATTATTTGTCGCAAAAAGTAAATGACAAAAAAAAGTTATTGTGGATTATCCATAAGAGATAGACATATACCATCACGGACTTTTCTGTAGACCTTTTCAATGTGTACAATACTTAGTACTTTATTTTGATAAAACTCGTAGGGTTCAGCCTGCGTTTGCAATGTAAGCGGAAAAAATGTAATTATTTACGACATCACATTAGAAACCTCAAAAATAACAGTACTTCTCCACTATTTAGTGGATGTTATTATACATATAAACCTTCCTCTTGAATCACTCTATCTATTAAAAAAAAAACGCATCAAAATCCGTTGCGTAGTTTCAAAGAATAAAGCGTACAAAGGGACAAAGGGACAGAAAAAGCGACTTTGCTTTATACTATGTAGTGATATGTAGTGATTAAAAATCTGTCATGTTTCAAATGAAACTGCTTGTCTTGACAATCGCACTAAACATTCTCATTTGATATAACAATCTACTATATTTAAGGAGTTTTAATATTGTTATGGTCACTATAAAGTGTTGTTAGGTTGGCTAATTACGTAATAACTTACACAAGAGGTCCCTTCAGTAGGGACTGAACAAATTAGCCCACTTTTTACGGTAGAAAAACTGAGTTATGCGCCTTAGTTTTTCTTACAATTTCATCTCATTTCTTTTTGTAGATTTTTACAAATACAGGTACACTGATTCATTAACTGCAAAAGAACAGGGAAATACAAATGGATAAATGTCGGTCTCCGTAGCTTAGCCGGGACAACAACCGACTATGGCGCGGTAGAACTCGGGTTCGAGTCCCGGTGAAAGGCATGGGTGTATGTATTAGTCTATGATTTAAAGTAGTCAAAACAACTCAAAAGTGATCAAAACAAATTCCTTCCATAAATGGCAGCAAACATTTCACAATGAATATACAGGAAAGTTATACAGCTCCATAAAATCCAATCCCCTACAGATAGTATAGTTTCGAAATGTCAGTAGCAACAGAGGCTACTTCATTCGCAGTATATGCTGTTTGAGAAGTGGGCACGCAATGTGCCCACTTACATCGGATTGGTGTCAGACAATATCCCCTCTGTCAGTGCCGGAAATTGGGAACTGTCGAACATATTATTCTCAATTGTAGTCATTTCAGACATCGATGTCAAAATTTGTTATTCAATTTAACCCAATTAATACGATTGAATCAGCCTAACAACTTAGGTTTTTTTATTATCCTTGAATGATATAGAGGTAAATCAAATCATTTTTGATCATATCAAATCGATAGGTTTGAAAACGTTGAGTTTTCAACGATAGGTTTAATACAACGTTGTATTTCCTATGTGCTAAGGGCGCCGTGTTTTGTTTCAGAACTCCTTCCTTATCGTGGCTTTACATGTGTGTTGATTGGTTCACTCTACAAAGCGTATATTGCTACTTCATAGCACTTCATCAATGAAGATCCTAGTAGGTTCTGGTCCTTCATTCAGGATAGAAGGGGATGTACTAGAATTCCAGGAATCATGAACAATCTATTTATAACAAGTCAAATGATATTGTGAACGCATTTGCGGATTACTTCAGTTCTGTGTATTCAGATGCTTCTGCTAATTGTGATATTGTTTCTGAGAATTCTGGAAACACTCTTGTTTTCATAGAGTGTATTACAGAAGACATGATAAAAGTAGCCGCCAGAAAATTTGATAACAAATTGACTAATTTGATTCCAAGCTTCATTGTGAAAGACTGTCTTGACACTGTAATCATGCCGCTAAAGCATATATATGATCTCATTCTGAAGACCAGCATTTTTCCTACAAGATGGAAGGTAGCAAAAGTTATTCCGGTGCTCAAGAAGGGAGACTCATCACATATTGGTAATTACAGGCCAATTTCCATATTGTCGAATTTCTCTGAATTGCTTGAAATTATACTTTTCAATAGCATATATCCTAAGATCACAAACAGTGTTGCAATTGAGCAGCATGGGTTTATGACTAGGAGATCTTGCATTACAAATTTGGCTCAGTTTTCTCAGTTCATATGTGAGGAATTGGACGGAGCAGGGCAGGTCGACGTTGTATATACAGATTTCCAGATGGCTTTCGATAAGATAAATCATAAACTAGTTATAGTTAAAACTAGGAAGCTTTTTGAATTTGCAGATAATTAATCACTTCTCGAGGAGTCCTACTTGAGTAATTGCAGTCAATTCGTACAAATAGAGAATTGCAAATCGAGAAAATTTCGAGTAACTCCGGGAGTGCCGCAGAGATCCAATCTTGGACCCCTACTATTTGTCCTGTTTATAAATTCCTGTTATAATCATGATTTTAATTCAGTTATATTTACCTGTAAAAGCCAGGACGCCGGAGCAACTGGCTGATCAGGAAATTTTAAAAAAGGACCTACTCCATTTCACATTAATAATTTACACAGTTATGGTAGTGTGAAAACATAAACTAATCGTCATCATTCCAAAGTCAATTGAACTTTAAGAAAACGCTTATAGTTCACAAAATATACAACAATTCGATAGGAATACCTAATTCACGTATGAACGTATTGGCCGATTATACGTTGAAAAATTATCAGTCTTGAGTCATCGTACATTATGAAGTTTCAATGTCTCCGAGGAAATTTTCTAACAGTGAATCTAAACAGCAGTTTTCGATCGAATAGATAACAATAAATAATTCCAAAAATGAGAAATATAATTCTGCATAATACATATTTCAACTGAAAATCTAAACCACAAATATTTCGGCTGAAATAATAAAAAATGAGTACATCAATATGAAATGACAAAAATCCAAAAAACGTGATTCGAAAAATATTCATAATTTTCGATTTCTTCAATTAGGATATTCTTCGAAAATTCTTAGGTTAGAACAGCGCAACTCGTCTTCTGTCCGTAAAGCAACAGTGGAACGCAGGTAATTAATAAACACCTTCAATATTCAATGCAATATTCCGCAAATTAATTATCGGCACTTTCCTCTGCCTCTTACCCGACCGAAAAAGAAAAGTGCCAACATCTGATGATTTATACGTATAATCTTCGGTAGTAATTGCTTTCCTTGGTCGTTCATTCATAGCACACCCACACAAAAGAGAAGCGGCAGAGCCAGTCTCTATCTCGAACCGGCTACATGGTAGACACTAAAATTACAGGTGAACAATTATCAATTTTCCCCATTATCGTAAACAGTGTTCTACGTCATTTTGACATAAAACGATTAAATCGAAGTCCTATCCTGAATAGCTGCGATAATAACAGGCTTTATTTTTCAATAGAAACGAAACATGAAGCGAAAATAGATGACGAATTCGAAATTATAAGATTCAAATTTTCTGTCACATTGTACCTAGACGTCAAAACGTAATCAGTTTGCTCCAAGTATTAATTCTTTAAGCGCACAACACACATCCACATCCTTGAAATATTTCACCACATACTACGAGTCAGTGTGAAAGACTCACCCTTTCAACTCCTTATAATAAAAAACTCAAACCACAAACGATAACCATTCGAAAACATAAGGAACTTGTCTGCAAGCCAAAGTCATCAAGGTGTGAGTTTTACGAAGTCAAACGCTGTAGAATGAAAACAACAGATGCTTCTTCCAAAAATCGCTATAAATCAATAAATTTTTAAATAAAAGTTTCATCATGATTTACTCCAACACTTCAAAACTATGGTCCATAAAGACAGCGCATCAGATATGCACCCCATAATACCCTTAAAAAGGTGAACATGTTAACTCTTTCCAATTTAAAAATTTTACTACTTTAAAAACTTCAGCGCTGGTTTAAGACAGCCAATCACTACATAGTATAAAACAAAGTCGCTTTCTCTGTCACTATATTCCCTATGTATGCTTAAATCTTTAAAACTACGCAACGGATTTTGATGCGGTTTTTTTTAATAGATAGAGTGATTGAAGAGGAAGGTTTATATGTATAATAACATCCATAAATAGTGGAGAAATACTGTTATTTTTGAGGTTTCTAATGTGATGTAAATAATTACATTTTTCCGCTTACATTGCAAACGCAGGCTGAACCCTACGAGATTTATCAAAATAATGTACTAAGTATTGTACACATTGAAAAGGTCTACAGAAAACTCCGCTATGGTATATGTCTATCTCTTATGGATATCCCACAATAACATTTTTTTGTCATTTACTTTTTACGACAAATAATGGCTAATTTTCGAAGCGATTTTAACCAATACAGCATTAATCCTTATCCAATTAAATACCTTAAATACATTGTTGATTTAATATAGATCTATATGGCCCTTTACAGCATATGATTTAAATGAATATTTTCGAAGATATTACAGATTTACAGAGAAAGCGACTTTGTTTTATACTATGTAGTGATATACATATATATATATATATATATATATATATATATATATATATATATATATATATATATATATATTAAATACTGACACTTAATTGAAATTTCGAAATATTTCAAATAAAACTCTCAGGGAGCTGTCTACTCAAATGTTGTCAACCAGAACGAACCAATCACTTTTGAGAGTGAATATTAAGTGCGCTTCGAAAAATTCATGTAGCCGCACTAATGTTGTCATGAGTAGGAATCTAGAACGCTAGGGAGAGTTACACGTTTTTTCTTCGACAGAGGGAGCTCACGTGAATTTGCATAAATTGTCGTTCCCCTCATTCGGATCTGGGACCTGTGGACGTTCTAAAAGTCATGGATTCTTCATTGTTTGATTAAATACGGACTGATGATTCATAATAATGATGAAACAATTGTATCCTATTATCATTCAACAAAATCGATGATTTTTTCGAAGCGCACTTAATATTCACTCTCGAAAGTGATAGGTTCGTTCTCGTTGACAACATTTGTGTAGACAGTTCAATTATGAGTCTCAGTATTTACTAATGATTCGTGGATCTGATATATATATATATATATATATATATATATATATTAGAGTCTAATATGTTATACGGCTTATTGTCTAATAATTAGACAATAAGCCGTCGAATATCTGAAAAATGGTTAAATTTTCTTATTTTCTTCTCATAGAGCCAAACATGCTAGACACTTAATTAACTACGTCATCAATATAAAGATCGAATATAAATTGGAAATCAAAAATCACGCCAAGATCCTGAATAGAATTTTGAAAATAAGAAATATTCTATTTGAATTCGGAAATTGATACAAATATCGATTTAGTTTGAATTAAACTAAATAGTTTGAAATTTTCACTTCAATTCAGTCAAACATGACTGGCCACAGTGGCTTCGTCAGATGTAGATGAATGTTTATCATCTACATCTGATGATGCCACTGTGTTGGCGAAACAATATTGTATGTTTTACTGATTAAAAGTGATAATTACAAACTACTTATATTCAGATTATGTTGTTAAATTTTCATCAAGTATCGGCCCAATCGATTAGTGAAATACCGATTTCACGATCTTGACTGCTTGTTTTTTTAATCATTGACGAAACTTTGGAACCTTTTGGAATTTATTTCAAAGAACATATAAACCTCTGAAAACGTAAACATCTGAACCTTCATTCAGAGAACATGTAAATCGTCCCAAAATTAACCCAAGATTCAAATTTGCAGCCATTTATGCGACATGGTAACAGAGTTCTTTTTGCAGAAATTGGATGATAACTATTGATGTGGTCAAATGTGGTTTCAACAAGACGTTGCCGCATGCGTAGAGCCCGTGAAACACTTCAATTGCTGCATGCAACATTTTCGGTGATCAGAACTCGATAGTGTGATTTAACATCATTAGATTTCTTTGTATT